TATATATATATATATATATATATATATATATATATATATATATATCTGGTCTACCATGATTTTGGAGAGGAAAAAAAAGTCAACCTTACCACATAAATATGACATCTACCTCATAAATTTTATAAAGACATTTAAACCCACAATGTTGAATCTACTAGGCTATCTGCCCACCCTATACCTTCAATCTCTCTTGGAGCATATGCTTTTTATTTGATGTTTTTGCTTTTCTGTTTAATTTTTATTTCATGCGTATTGGTGTTTGCCTGCATGTATGTCTGTGTGAGTGTGTCAGGTTCTCTGGAATGGAGTTAAGGACAATTGTGAACTATCATATGGGAATTGAACCTGGATCTTCTGGAAGAACAGTCAGTGCTCTTAACCACTGAGCTATTCTTCAATCCTAGAGTATACGCTTTAATTTTTTTGTTAATCAAACTTCTGCTTAAGTTGGAAATCTTTCAAAAGAAAGGGAGAAAGGGAGAGAAAAAAAGAAAGGAAGAAAGGAAGGAAGGAAGGAAGAAAGAAAGAAAGAAAGAAAGAAAGAAAGAAAGAAAGAAAGAAAGAAAGAAAAGAAAGAGAAAGAAAAGAAAAAAACTAAGAACAAGATCCTTTACTATTTTGGTGCCAATGTTCAGATGCCCTTTCATCAAAGGTAATATGGAGGCCTCTCTGTATGAGACCATTTGTCTCCACTCTTTCCTGGAGCTTGGAAAAGCTCTACATGTCTCCTGAATTTTCTTACAACGAGCATGTCTTGGAACTGTGCCAGGCATTTCTATTCTGGTTACTCTCTCTACTGCAGACCTCTGCTCTTTCCTTACCAGGAAACCCTCCTCTCACCACTTCCCTTCCTCTGTGGCTACTTTGACCCCAGATAATCTCTGCTGTCACCCAGAGAACTACTTCACTTCTTTCTTTGATTGATGGTGAGGATCTGAAGATTGCTGCCTCCTCTCTTTGTTGGTTTCCTCTTTTTGCCTGGAAACTCCACAGGACTGAGCTTTCTTAAGTTTGGCCAAGAGGGAAAACTTAAATTGCCAAGGCAATTTGATGAGATCCCACTCTGCCTTGCTTACTGTACTCTCCCCAAGTGATACTGACAAGGCCTTATTACTTCCTATTACCGAAAGGACTCAAGATGATGTGTCTATTGCAAATATCTCTTGTTCTCCCAGGGCATGAAGAGATACTCCTAAGACCACCTTTCTTTCATTTGACAATTGTTCTGCTTCTGGGTGACTCCAACCCCAGATGGAAAAGCTGTTCCCCTTATCCCATTGGCTTTTCACAATCCCACATTTGAGTTCCAGAAAACTTAAAGCCTGTAGGCTCCTATTTATCAGATCTACCAGGATGAATTTATACGTGTGTGCATGGTCGGGCATGCATGTGTACTACATGTATAAATGTGTATGGACACATGTGTTCTGGTGTACATCCACATGTACACACGTACATGTGGAGGTCAGAGGTGGGCATGGAGTGTATTCCTCTATCGTTTCCACCTCATATATTCTGGCAGCACTGGGTTCTCCACAAGAATATTCAGGCGACTTCTGGCCATTAGGAACCTACCTCCACGCTCCACAGCAACAAGTATGAGCTGATCTAGACAAGAGCAGCCAAGAGTCATCAGGTTATAAAAGAGATTATTGGTCCAAAAAGGGTTTGGTCTCTTTTAAGAAAGCAACAACAAGTTTCCTTTATATTAAAAGAAAATCCATTTTGTTTTTGTTTTTAAAGAACGGGGGAATATGTTGTGGATATAAATACATTTTTGTTTTAATCCCAGGTGTGGGATGTGGGACTGATTCAGATGGTCCACAGCAGGAAAATATTTGCCTCAAACGGGCTCTGAGAGAAGCTCTTTGCCAGCTGTAGATAGCTTAAATCTGAGGACTCTGGAGAGGGAGTAAATGTCAGAGCCCAGAGAATGTGGAGGAGCTCCGAGAGAGAACAAGGCTGCTGCTGCTTCCTCCCTGCGGCTCCTGTTGCTGTTGATGCAGTGAGACAAAAAGTTGGAGATCTCCTGAAACAAGGATTGGACTGGCTCCAAGGAACCCGATGACCCTAACCAGCAGGAAACAGCTAAGAGAACTGTGTCCCCTCTCCCACTAACTCTTTCTCTCTCCTACTTGGTGTTGGGGTGTTGTAAGGGATTGGGGTGGAGTAGGGAGAAAGAGGTATAAGAAATTTAAATTAAAAAGTTTTTAAAAAGTATGCTGCCCGTTTGCTACGGCATGGCTGCTTTAGGGGCCTGGCTGTCCGGTGAGTGACTGTGGGGTTGGGGGGCCTGGGTCATGTTGGAGGACCTGGAGGCTACCTGCGGTCTAACTCCCTGCTTTTCCAATGGCTGCCATGCGCCCCCAATGAAAGGCCAGCTTCAAATAAAAGCTCAAAGGGAAAAGCCTGCAAGAAGAGTTGTACTGCTGACACAGGAAATGGATGCTGGATTACAGGCATGGAAGCTCAGGCAGCAGAAACTGGAGGAAGAAAGGAAGCAAGAAAATGCTTTTAAACCTAAAGGGACTTCACTAAAAAGCCCACTTCCAAATCAATAAAAAGGATCTCCTGTCCAGCTTTGAAAAAAAAGTATGCCAATACATGTATTGAGGCAGGGTCTCTCATTTGAACTTTGAGCTTAAGCTCACCGATATGGTTAGTGGACTAAGCCATCTTGGTCCAGGATCCCCCATATCTGCCTCCCATGCACTGGGGATCGAGGGAAGTTGTTATGTCCACCCAGTATTTCCATGAGTGATGAGGAGCCAAACTCCCCTCCTCAAGCTTCAGCAGCAAGGACTTACTTTGACCTCTGGAACCTCTCCCCAGTCCCAGATGTGTCTTTCTAAAGCTGTTCTCTGCAAGGATGTGAAAGTGACTCGGGGAGAATGTAGTTTCAAGAATTCTACCAACCAGTTATTCTGAGTTCCCGGGTTGACCAAGGGGTACCCCGATCACTTCTGTTTCTCCGCTTTAACACAGGAAGGACATTGCTCTTGCCTGAGGCAGTCACTGGACACATGGAGTGGAAGGGATCGCTATCCGCACATTCTTGGCTTCTTCTTTTTATATGAGGAATCAGTTACCCGCCTGTCCTGTCGGCAAGTCTGCTTTACCACATATATTACTGTCACTAGCAAAACTCTGTGTGGAGTAAAATCACATACAAGCAAGTCTTCTAATAAAATGGGGACCTCTGCACCGTCTGGCTACACACCTACTTCCGCACATGTGACCTGCTCCACAAAGGCCCAGCGGACCCAATGACTCAACCAACAGTCTCTTGTTCATCCTGGACTGCCCCTCCTCTTCTCTTAATGAAAAAAATTATGTGTGTGTGTTTGTCTGTGCACCTTCCTCCGTGCAACACTGGCAGACGCCAGAAGAGGGTGTCAGATCCCCTTGAACTGGGGGGTTTAAGTACGGTTATCAGCCACCATGTGGGTGCTGAGAATCCAACTCAGGTCCTCTAAGAGTCAGTTCTCTTAACCACTGAGCTCCAAAACATGTTTTAATGGTCCAAGAATTGATATTGTTTTCCCATGATTTGTAACAAGCAAGATTAGCTTCTCTCTTTGTAAGCTGATAAATCCCCTTATGTTGCTCTGTTTTATAATATTAAGGGAGGAAATAAAGTGGGAAGAAATCAGTAAGTAGGAGAGAGAAATATAAAGAAGGGTGAAAGCATTTGGCTATATCTTTTAGTGAGAAAGACTAAAAGAAAAGAATATTTTTATAAGAAAGTTTTTTAAATAATATATTTTTTTTTCCTAAGATAAAGTGACTGGCCAAATGGAAAAGAAATAAGTAGCGGCAAAATAGGAAGCTTAAACAATCACCGGTCTGAACTAGTCATTTGTGGAGAACTTAAAGATCCCTAATGACTAAAGGTTGGTAAAAGACCCAAGACCAAATTGAGAATTCTGATAGAATGTCAGAGAGAATTCCTCTATTTAATTTAGTGAGGTTCTTTTTTAAAATAGTGATATGTTCTTTGTAACATTTATAAAAACTGTCTTGAAGATGTTGGGTGGTGGTGGCCCATGCCTTTAATCCCAACACTTAGGCAGAGACAGGCAGATCTCTCAGTTTGAGGACAGCCTAGGTCTACATGGAGAGGAAGAGAGGGGAGAGGGGAAGAAATGAGAGGGGAGAGAGAGAAGAGGGAAAAAGATATGCAGGACAGTCAGGGCTACACAGAAAAACCCTCTCTTGTAAAGAAAGGAAAAACAAACAAAACCAAAATCCAAAAGAACTGGCTTGAAGAACAAAAAAGTCCTCCTAAAGACTGGTAAAGCTGTCTTCAGCTTCAACAACAATGAGAACAAAATGTGGAAAAGGACAGCCAGTGTTTTGGCTTTTGTCTTTCGAGATCATTCAGGACTCAGCAGACTATGGGGCTCCTTTACAAAGGCCCTCCAAGACTGCTGTAAGTCACCTATCCAATTGATCAAAGAAGCCATGGAGACCCCAGAGGGTGGGGGTCAGTGTACATCCTAAAAAGATGGAAGTTCTTAGAGGAGAAATGCCTCGTTTCCAAGGGAGAATGGTCAGTAAGACCCTGACTCGTGCCTATGAACCAGCAGTCCTCGACCTGTGGGTCACAACACTGTTGGTCACATCTTAGGTAACCTGCATGTCAGATGCTTACATTCTGATTCCTAACAGAAGCAAAGTTACAGTTAGGAAGTAGCAACAAAATAATATGATTAGGGGGTCACTACACCACAAAGAACTGGAAAAAAAAGGGGTCACAGGGTTAGAAAAGTTGAGAGGCACTGCTATATACGGTACAATTGTAGGAGAAAGATGAAAAAGCCCAAGGACTTCTCACAGGTCTCTGTGAGGAGCCCCTGAGATGTGTTGAATGACCTTAGCAATTAAAAGAAACGAGGCTAAATTTTGGTCCTTTACATGATCTTAAACATCCAGAAAGAAAGTATAACTGACAGAGGCATGTTTGCAGTCTGTATAAAGACATGCTTGTCTTAGTCAGTGTTCTATTGCATGACCAATGAAACTCTTATAAAGGGAAACCTTTAATTCGGCCGTGTTTACAGTTCAGAGGTTTAGTCCATTATTTTCATGGCTTTACACAGGCAGGACATGGAAGCTGAAAGATCTACATCCATACCTGAAGGCAGCAGGAAAAGGGGGATACTGGGCCTTAGAAACCTCAAAGCCCACTTCCTTTCCCCAACAAGGCCACACCTCCTAATCCTTCTCAAAGAGTGCCATGGTCCCCCCCACACACACCGTGACCAGACATTCATGAGTTCATGGGGACCATTCTTATTCAAACCATCACACAAGTACTCAAAATTATACTACATTAAAACATTTTTTATGGAGCCGGGTGTGATGGCACATACCTTTAATCCCAGTACTCAGAAAGTAGAGGTAGGTGGATTTCTGTGAGTTTGAGCCAGCCTGGTCTACAAAGTGAGTTCCAGGACGGCCAGGGCTATCCAGAGAAACCCTGTCTTGAAGCCTCACCCCTTCCCAATATTTAGGGTGTGTGTGCGTGTGCGCACGCACACAGATGTGGAGCTCAGAGGGCAACTTGTGGTAGTTGATCGATTCCCTCCTACTATGGGGGTCTCAGGGATTGAATCCAGCTAATTAAGCTTGGTGACAAGTACTTTTACCCCCTGAGCCATCTTTGCCCATCGTTCATGTTGCAAAAAGGAATCAGCACATACAATACGATGACTAGCTAAGCACCTACGCACTGATGTTTCCTTTCTTTCGAGTTAACCCCCGCCAACCCTGATGGCCCTAGAGTGGGACAAGGTTGGAAACTGACCTGATTCAGCAGCTTAAGAAATACCTCTAGTAAAGAAAGCACAGAATTGGGGAAGAATGCAAGGGATGGGGAGGAAAGCTCAGGCATCAGATGTGCCTGACCATCTGACCAAGGAGCAGTGACTGACAGCCTGATTCCCACTCCTTTCTCCAATTTCATTTCCTGGCTGGAGATGAGATGGAGGCCAGACTTTTAGAATTTTAGAATTTTTAGAATTTTGTCTGAATGGGTTGTAACCGTTCGGACTTTCTAGGTCTGGATAATGACTCAGAGCCTTATATTTGTTTACACTATTTTTAGGCCTTAGATTACTGTTGTTCACAACTAGCATTTATAACTTATGTTCAATCTGTGTTCCGCCAATCGGTTCTTTAAAGCTCCTCAGTTTCATAACTCTGGCACCCTCATCGTCTAGCAAGCGAATCTTTTCCTGCCTCCTTCTTTCCCAGAGTGCCTCTCTCTGCCCGGAAGTCCTGCCTCCCTCTCTTGCCTCAGCTATTGACCATTCGGCTCTTTATTCAGCCAATCAGAAGGTGATGGAGAACAATGTTTACAAAACACTGAGACTGGTGATACGTAACAGTATCAAAGTCGGGTCTGTACTCGGCTCTCTGCTGGCACAGAAACCAGCGTTTGGATAGGTAAGGACAACCTTTACCCAGCGCACAAAAGCATCACTCCAACACTGGGTGTTTTCCCTGTGTGTATGTCTGTGGTCCTCTTGTGAGTCTGGTGTGTGGGAAGGCTACAAGAGGGTGTTGGGTCTCCTGGAAGTGGAGTTACAGATGGTGCAAGCCACCGGGTCGGTGCAGGGAATAGAATCTCTATCCTCTGGAAGAGCAGCCAGTGCTCTTAACCGCTGAGTCGTCTCTGCAGCCCTGGGAAGCAAACCCCAAATCCCCCGTCTGCTCAGATTGTTGGCTCTCTGAATAAGCTGTCTTAAAAATTCAGTTCCAACTGGGTGCTGGTGGCGGCGGCACACACCTTTAATCCCAGCACTTGGGAGGCAGAGGCAGGTGGATCTCTTGAGTCTGAGGCCAGCCTGGTCAACAGAGCAAGTTCCAGGACAGCCAGGGCTACACGGAGAAACGCTGTCTTGGAAAACAAATTCAGTTCCAGTTTCTTGTCATTGTCATTGCAACCTACAGGCAGCAGCAGGGTCCATGTCCTGCCATAATACAAGCAAATCTCTCTGCTCTTTCCCCTCTCTTCCTCTTGCCAGGCCTGCTGCTCTCTCCTCTTGCTGCCAGTTTTTCTAGTTACTGAATGAATATGGCCATCACTATCTCCCCTTACCATCGTAATTAAATGACTTATTTTATTCTGTTTTTCTTCCACCCCTAGTTCCTTAAATGCCTAATCACATTAGTTGCTTTTGGACTCCAATGAATACAAGTGGTTAAACAATAAAAAAAAAATGCTCTTACCATTTGTATAATTTTCATTTATGTTCTAGATATAAAAAAAGTAAAATATCTAAGTCTCAGAGATTAAAATAAAAATCCCGACCTCCCTCTCTGAGACTGGATCCTGAGATCCAGTCTGCTTTATCAAACAAGACAAAACCATGGGACCAGCTACCGTAGCCCTTGTTTCTGTTTTGATTTATCTTGTGTCTTCCACCCCGGTTCACCTAACCTCCTGCTAAGACTGATAACTTTTGGCACAAGGCCTTAAAAGTTTAATGATGACTTTGGGATGCCAGCTGCTGCTTGTTGTAATTACAGCAGAGCAGAATATAAGAGGACTTTA